TTCCTGGCAACATGCCCTAAATATGTGAGATGGAGCTTCACTGTCCTTGCCTCCAGGGAGCAACCTGGTTACACCCTTATCCGGATAGATCTGTTTTTTTCTTTTGGCAATCCATAGTATGTTCAGTTACCCCGCAGTCACAGAAATACTTATGTAGAATAACTTTATAAATAGATTCATACTGTTTGTAGGATTTTAGTGGGAAATTTTAATGTTATGCCGACTAAAAATTCCTTTTACATTAGCGAGCTCTATAAAACCTGTTTGTTGTGTCAGTTCCTGTTTATGATGGTAGCTTAATGGTAAGGAGTTGCCTTATCAACCCAAAGGTACACGGTTTGAATCCACCAGCTGCTCCATGGAAGAAGACTAAATGGTCTCCTCCCATGTGATTTACTGCCTCTGAAAACCTGTTGGAGGGTCTGCTAAGAGTCTGTTCTGACACCACCACCACCACCACAACAGGACAAAGTAGAACTACCCCATAGGGTTTCCAAGGCTGCAGTCTTAATGGAAGTGGGAATCCCAGTAGCTCAATGATTAAAACACTCAGCTGCCAACCATTAGTTTAAACCCTTTAGCTTCTCTGTGGAAGGAGGATGCAGTTGTCTGCTTGTGCATAAACTGAAGGGTCTTCTGTTACAGAGCAGTTCTGTGGTGACCCATAGGGTTGCTGTGAGTCTATATCAACTTGATGATGGGCGGTTTAATTGTATAATTTCTATGATTTTTTCTTCCTTTTTTTGGTGAGTCAATTCTCACATAGTTCTCATGAATTATGTAAGTAGAATGAAAGAGCAAGTTCCCAGCTCTTACACCACACTCATCTCTCTCACTGTTTCCTGGGTACTGATCCTTCTGCTGCCATCTCTAATGTAACTCTTAAAGAACTGGATTACTGTTGACTTTCTTTCTCCTCTATGCCTTAAACTCATTTAACCTTTCTTATATACATTTTTCTTTGTTGTTCCTTGTAGTGGTTTTTGCTCAGTTACTCAAGGTAGAAACCTAGGGATTATCTTCACCTTCTTTCTCCTTCTTCTGCTTGATGAAATTATTATAAATTTTCTTTGAATATGGATTCTAAAGTTTATTCCTTTTCTTTGTCACCAGTAATACTGCATAGTTTAAGAATTCATATTTTGTATGAAACTTCAGCTCCCCCATAATTGGCTTCCTTGTGATCCTTCCCTCCCTCTTGTATCTAGTTTTCTGATTGTTTCCAAGGCACCATAGCTCTGCACAGTAGTCTTGTAATCCTGTTGTCCCCTAAGCATACAGTCTTTGTGGTTGTTATTTACCATTGAGTCAGAACCGACCCATAACTCACCCCCCCATCCCCAGCAAGTTTTCAGAGGTCATAAATAGCTCAGGAGGAGATTGTCATCTTTCTCCTGCGAAGCATCTGGTGGGTTCAAACCTTTAGGATAGTATATTAAAGGTTTTTCAACTATTTGGACTGTATGTCATCTCTAATCTTATTTATGCTGCTGTGTTCTGTTCTTTCCTGAATTTACATCATTCATTTATTCATTGTGTTTGTTAAACATTAGCTATATGCTAGATATTGTCCTGGGTGCTTTGAGGATACAGAGAGAAATGAAACCGTAAAAACTCCTGCCTGTTAATGCTCATAGGATGCCACACACATCCTTTCTGTGTCTTTGACTGTGCTATTCCATCTGCCCTTTCACTGTTCAAAGAATTTCTATTAATCTTTTACACCATGCTCAAGTGTCATCTCTTTTCCAATCCCTTTTGTAACTTCCCTGGGTAATGTTTCTTCTCTGTGTTCCAGCAGTACTTTCTGTTGGTATTTCTGTTGTATTTCCCAGGGGCCTTTAGTGGGATAGTCATTACTTCTTGTACTGTTATCTGAAAGCTTGGAGGTTCCAATTTACAGCTGTCCCCCAGGCAAAAGATGGCAAATACTCTCCTATCAAGATTCACAGCCTCAGAAATTTGATGGGAGAGTCCTCGTGATTCACAGTCTACTTCATGATAATGTGTTTGGTTTTTGTTTGGTATTAAAGTGCTAATCATATGAGGGTTTTTTTTAATCGATCCTCCAGTTAATTTAGATTTACAAATAGAATCAAAAAAGGTACAAAAGAGGAAAGTAGTAACAAGGTTGAGGTAGACAGTGAAAAGAAACAAAAAGAAGAGGAGAGAGGGGAATGAGAGAAGCAGTATGAGTATGACTGAAAATAGTCTCTAGAGCCAGAGAGAGTTTGAATCTTCACTTGTCACTGACCAAGTATAGAGTTAATACACCAGCTTTTCAGTGGCTCTGCCTCAGTTTGCAGATATTAAGTACCATGTAAGGAGAGACAGGTCTTTAGAGAGGGACATCATGCTGGGTAGAGTGGAGGGACAGCGCAGGAGGGGAAGACCCTCTATGAGGTGGATTGATTCAGTGACTGGGCTAATCGGGGTGGGTGTGTCAGAGGCAATGAGATTGGCATGAGATAGAGCATGGTTTAGGGCTGTTGTACATAGGGTCGCTATGAGTTGCAAATGACTTGATGGCACATAACAACAACAACAACAATTGGAAATGACCCACTACTGACCCTCTGTCAGGATTGTAGAGGCAGTAAATCCCTGGAACAAGATTGCATATCCATCAGCATAGAGCAGTTGATGAGTTTGATCCATGTGCCTTTGAGATTGCAACACAGCTTCTTACTACTAGGCCATCAGAGCTCCTTGACTTTAAAAATAAAAATAATACTCTCTTTCGTGGCTCTGTTCCGACAGAGTCTGTACATAATGTAACTTCTAGGTCCTAGTAACAACACCTGGCTCCCCCTGGATCTGATACCTAGACAGCAGTCCTGCCCTGCTGCCTCCTCTGCTCTCTACCACAGTACTGTTCACCTAGCTCTGAATAAACAGTAAAATCATACTCAGTTTTGTATCTGGAATATTTAGTTTTTCACAAATATTGTATCTTTCACAAACACCAGTAGATTAGAACATTCATCATTAACCAATTGGTAACCTCGTTTCAAGGATTTAGTTAGATGCTGTTTACCTCAGCTCTTCTGGCTAGAGAAAAATAAAACCTCAGACACTCTGGTATTTTGATTGTCTCATGGGAGATGGAGGAAGAAAGGTTAAGTTGTATGTGAGGTATACGAGTCACTGTTACTAATACATGAATACTGTAGGACACTGAGACACAAAATTAATGTCTATTCAACTTTAAATGACTATTGTTGCTGTTGATTGCCTTTGAGTCGAGCACGACGCATAGTGACCCTATGAACAAAAGACCTGAAGCCCCTCTACAATTATTGACATTTATCAACATTAATAAGAGTTTCCGGAGGCACATTATTTTGGAAGTGGATGCCACTCCTGCAAGGGCGCTCTGGTGGCCTAGTGGTGAGAAGATGCACTGCAGTCACAAAGGCACATTGCAGTCCACCAGCTGCTCTGCTGGAGAAGGATTGGCAGTCTCCTTTCGTGCGATTTTCTGCCTCTGAAAACCTACTGAAGGGTCATCTGTGGTTCAGTTCTGACTTCATGGAACACAACAACAACAATGAAAAGAACTCAAAATCTGAAAAGAAAGGACAGAGTAATAGATGGTTGGAGAAGATAGAGAAGATTCTGTCTCTTCCCACTCTACATAATCAGCCTGGGTGATTTTCATATGTTCTCTCAAGATTTGTATATGTGGTAGCTCAGTACAGTAAAAATGTTTCTGGAATGGATGGTGACTACTTGTATTTGGGCCTTTGCATGTGCTATTTCTTCTGCCTGGAATAATATTAGTTTTACTAATACTTATAGAAACTGTTAGAATAATTTCTTATAATAGAGACTATAACTTTTTCACAAGCTGATTTGAGCCTTCACATTGGATTAAGTGCTCTCTTTTTCTTCCCCAATAATAGTTTTTATTATCTAGTGTTATAAGTGCTAGTATTGAATTCTGGTGGCTTAGTGTTAAGGCATTGCACTGCCAGCCCAAAATTAAGTAGTTATAATCCAGCTCCATGGGAGAAAGATAGACAGTCTCCTACTATCAGTTTGCAACCTCTGAAAACCTACTAGAGGGTCAGCTATGAATTGGTTCCAGCTTGCTGGCACATAACGATGACAACATTGTCATTGCTTTCACTAGATTGTACATGGAAGGAAGAACTATGATGTCCTTTTGACTGATGTTCCAAAAGTATTTGGTGAATAAGTGATAGGATAGAGAACATTTGGTGATTATAAGCAAGGTGAAGAAGATGACCAAAAACAGTGCATGTGGAAATGCATATGGCTGGTCCTAAGGCAGTGAGTGAAGCTATTTAACTGAATGTAATTCTGAGATATAGGGAGTTCCAGTGGCCTTGTGCTACTAACTCAAGAGATGTACAGCTTGAAACTATCAGCTCTTCTGTGGGAGAAAGGAGGACAGTATCCTCCTGTGCAGTTTGCAGCCTCTGGAAACTCACTAGAGGGTCAGCTAAGAGCTCGTTCCAACTTAACAGCACGTAACAACAATATTGAAAGGAGAAGCCAGAACTTTGAATGCCAGGGTAGGAAGCCTAGAATTTATTTGATAGGAAAGGGCTATTGAAGGATATTGAAGCTTTTAGAGAGAAAAATAATAATATATTTGATCCTGAGTTTGATTAAGTAATATACCAATGCCTGGGAATTTTTTTAAATGAAATGATAAAGTTTTACAGTACTCTTGAATAGATGAAACATATGATTATTGTTTATTTTGCAGACCCCTATCTTTGTTTTGAGATTGTTTCCAACCTAATTTACAGGGAAACTTTTAGAAGCTTTGAATGAATACTGTTGCTTGAATTTAAACAACTGTCATTAAACATAGTTTTTCTTATAAATGGAATGGTTTCAAACGATGATAATTTAAAAAAATGTAATTAAAGTAAGGCAGTAACTTAACATGTGTATGGGGGTTTCCTTTGATCTGTCTGTTAAAAGAAATGAATGCTTACAGCTGTGACTTTTTTCTCTCTAGTATCTCCAGAGGCAGTTGGATTTTTGTCAGCTGTTGGGGTGTTTATTGTCTTGATGCTGCTCCTTTTTCTCTATATTAATAAGAAGTTCTGTTTTGAAAATGTTGGCGGGTTTCCAGATCTTGGTTCAGATTACAGTTCAAGGAAGAATTCACAAGATAAAATTTGTGAGTACCATATCACTGCTTCTCTTGTTTGTTTGTATATTTGTTTTTGTTAATTTCTGCCATTCTGTTATTTTGTATGGCATTACATAGATACAGTAAAAAAAGTTGGTTTTGACATACAGTAAAGTGTCATCTGAATCACTTTCCTGACAGAGTAAAACATTTACTAGGAAATTATGTGAATTATGTTCTTGTTGCCCAAAATTGTCAGTGTACTGCACACAGGTGACTAGTCACAGAGAAAGGGGCACTTTTTTTTTTTTTACGTAGTGTGTGCTTTTGAGTCTTTAATTAGAAAAGATAATGCTTCAGGAAGAAGAAAGCATTTTGGTGCATATGTAATGTAAGTTGGTCATCCAAGTAGCTCTGTAGACAGCTTTTCCCAAGTGTCCTAGGGCTTTTGAAAGTATTCACTTTTTTTCTTTCCCTGTTACCGGACTCCAGCTGATTTTGAATTTGATTTTTTGTATGATGTGAATCTATAAAGTCTGACTATAAAACGTAGTGTTCCACTTTCTCTATTGGCACTTTAGGTGTTAATAGGACTATAGTGTTACTGTATAGCAGCATCAATTGATGAGGGCTTTATTACTATTCCTTCATCTGTGGAAAAGTTTCCTTTAAATTCATGTAAGATTTTTTTTTATTTGTTATTTCTTTGTAAGTGATTGCAGAAACTATTTGAGAATTATAAAAGCAAAGTGTTAATGTAGCATTTGGGGAACAATTACAGAGAAACTTTTTCTTTCTCTGTACATATGTTGGGAGATGCTCTTCTCTTAACAGTAATTTAAAAATTGATAGCCCTACTTCTAAAAATCAGTTAATTGAATTATATAACATTTGGGTTAGGAAACTAATACTTTATTTGGTTTTGATTTGATATAGTTCAGTATTTCTCATAATCTGTTCTAGTTTGACTTTCAGCAGATCTCATTTTTTAGAGGGTTTAATGATTCCCTTACACTCTTAAAAATGTATTGAAAAACTCAGAGGGTATATGTTTATGCGTGTTACACATATATTGATTGTTACATTAGTCAAAACTGAGAAAATGTAAAAAAAACCCATTTTATTTAGGCGTATTTAAAATCAATAAACCTATTATATATTAATAAAAATAACATATTTTAAAATTGAGGAATGATATCCTCAAAAACTTGTAGTTAGAAGAATAGTGCTTTCCAATCCCCCCCCCTTTTTAATATCTTCTGTAGCAGACAATAGTTGGATTATCATATCTGCTTCTACAGTCAAACTGTCCTCAGGCCATAGGAAAACCTATGCTCACTTGGGAGCAAATGATAGTGAAGTTAAATATCACTTTACCATCACTTATTAAAAGGAGCCCCGGTGGCATAGTAGTTAAATGTTAGGCTGCTAACTGAAAGATTGTCGGTTCAAATCCACCATCTACTCTAATGGAGGAAGAAGAGACAGTCTGTCCCAATGAATTAGAATCAACTTGATGGTAGTGAGTTTTGTTTTAAGTGTTTTCTGATGTAATTTTGACCTTGAATATACCCTTAAAGTTTTTTAAAATTTTCTGAACCTTGTTTTTATTGTAACTATAAAATAATAATAGTATCTAGCTAGCATTTTTGGGAGCTCTGGTGTTACAGTCTGTAGAGAGATGTGTTGCTAACCCAGAGGCCACTTGGATTCAGGTCTACCAGTGACTCCTGGGGTGGGGGGAGGATGGACAGTCTCCTCCTGTGTGATTTAGAGCTTCAGAGACCCAGTGAAGGGCCAGCTCTGAACAGATTTAGACTGAATGGCAGTGAGACCAAACTGACTGTAAGATAAAATGTGTAATAGCCACTCATCAAATGATCATGCACTTCTCTTATAGAAAATTACTTAAATATTTTCCCCTTTTGTTCTTCAAAATGGAGTACTCCTTCCTCTTAATATTTTTTTCTGTAATCTTTAGCAATGCTAGTAGTTTGCAAATAAGACAGATTAGTTCCTCAACATAGACTATTAACAATTAAACTAAAAAGTACATAATAAAAATCCTTTTTATACTTCTTCCTTGCAGGTATAGAATAAAAACCCCATAGTGTTTGAGGGGAAAATATTGTCTTGCTGCTATTATGATAGCTGTGGCATGGGGGAAATGTCATTACAGTTAAACCAAGTGCTTTGTTTCTCCTGAAGAATCTTTGCTTCATCATACTTCTTCCACTGTAACAAAAGTAAGAGCTACAGTGTCAAATACTGATGTTGAGCTGATTAGAAACACTTACGTGAATAGGAAGTTTTGATTTAAAAATTCTCGATATTTTGATTAAGATGAAAAAAAATCCATTTTTTAACCTCGTAGGAACAAAAAATTAGAAAATGGCATTTTTCAAAAGTTTTCAGCAGAATCTGCCTTCGGTGTCCTCGCTGGTGGACACGATCAGCAGTGCTGTAGAGGACTTAACCGCTGCTGTTGGGGAGGTCAGCTATGCTTTAACTGACTCAGTGGCTGGACAAGTGACAAGTATGATGAACGGCTTTCGTCCAGAAGAGGAGAACTCTGCAGCCGAAGAAACGAGGGATTCTTTTAAACAAGACCTGTTACCAAAAGGCTCCGAAGATGCCAGATGTCAGAAAACACAATCCAATTCAGAGCACAGAACAAAGCAAATACATTCATTTGCACAAAAGCAAGAACAAGATCTCCAGGAAGAAAGAGTACTTAAACATGTTAATGATAGGCAACAGACCCCATCAAAATGTCAAGATGCTTGTAGCACTGGTGATTCTTCACCAGTTCTCAAGCACAGGACTCGGGCTGGATCTGCATGTCAAGCACTTGAGAGTACTGACAGAGGGACAAAAACGAATTCTAAAGATAGATTACATGGAAAAATCAAGGAGCATATAAATCCAACAAAGTACCACAAACTGAAAGATGACACAAAATCCAAGAAAAATGAAACCGTTTGGGCCGAGAGAGGGACAACAAAAAGTAAAGATGAAAAATATTCTAAGATAATACCAGAAAAAGGTGAGGTCTGCAGATGCTGGTTTGAGTGATTACATTTTCTCTTCTTTGTTTTTTCTTTTTAAATTAGGAAAGCTTTTTTCTGTATTCTCAGCTTTCCTATACATGTCTATATAGCTAACATTTTTTAATCCTCTTAACTGAGAGACTTGAAAAGGCATTTAGCTTTTGCCCACTAGCATAAACAAGGTCTGGTGATGTAATCTTTAGGGAGTGGCAGTGCTAACATAGCGGCCATGTCTCTGCTGGTTCAAATCTACCCCTGGCTTTCTGCAAAAGAGAGATGGGTAATCTCCTGTCACAGAGTTTATAGCCTCTCAAAGAAAACCTGCTGGAGGGTCAGCAGTGACTTGACCGCATTGTGTGAGTGAAGAAAAATGTTGCCTCTGTTTTCTAGCCAGTTTTCCCTCCCTCCTAAATTCTACTTATTTTTTCACCAGCAACTCCACGGTTTTCTTTAGTAGTCTGCATGTCTCAGCTGATATGTTATTTGATGAGTTATAGATACATTTACCAAGTTTTTCTTTTTATCACTAATCACAGTCTGACTCTTCATATCTAATAAGACTCAAATATCAAATGTTCTATAACTTTCCCTTGGGCACAGTGGATTTTATTTTGTTGATTAGCTTGCTTTAGAGTATGTTTTAAAACTCGTTTATCCATACATTATGGTTTAGATATGACTGTTCTATCAGTATTCATACATTCTTTTTATATATTTAATATTTCAGTTAAACATTTCACATTTTTAAGCACAATATTTGTGATACTTTTCAAAACAATTAGCTGACACTTACCTGGTTACTAGTCATTACTTCTGAGAAATCTCTGAGGGCATTTTCATTTATTGCTGATATGATCACAAGACCAAAACAACACTGGCATTTATTTATAGAATATACATCTGAAATTTTCCTATAATTTTATATTCCCATGAAGCTACTAAAATCTGACCTGTAGTAGAAATAGGTAAGACTTTTCTTTTTTGACTGCATAAGTAAGAATATCTGCTGTTTATTGAGCATGTGACTGGTTTCAAAATGATACAGTACAGGCTGATGTTGGATAGCTTGATTAATTCAAGAGGAATGCCTGTTTCCCTAAATATATTAATTTTGGAGCCTATTTATCTAGCCACTTTTCTGAATATCAAAATCAGTGGATTTCATGTCCCAATTTTAGTTTAGATTGTCTTGTTTCTTGCCACAGCACAAACAAAACAGAAGAAAATAGATTCATTTATATATTATTTTCTTCTAAACAGAACATCATGCGGTGGTTTTCTACAGAGTGATAACAGTATAGAATTTGAAAATTTATTTTGATTTGTTTTCATTAGAAGAGTATGGATGGATATCTAAGGAAATCAAGTCTCTTTCAAGTGTTTCAGAATATAGCCAATACTATGTTCAAAAAATTGTTTTAAAAATTATTTGAACCGTAGATGAATCAATCCTTCATTTAGCTGAATGTCAGTACTTTGGATCATATACTTTGGGCATGCTGTCAAGAGGGGCCAGTCTCTAGAAAGGGGCATCCTCCTTGGAAAGATGGAGGGTCAGAGGGAGAAGAAGACCCTCTATGAGACAGACTGACACAGTGACTACAGCTAGTCTTCTGCATAGTGGCGAGTGTAAGGATGGATGACAGAGGATTAAGCAAGGTTAGATCTGTTGTCTGTCTGCTTGCTGTGAGTGGACAATAACACGACAATATCTAATAAGAATATTAAAATAGGACAGTGGTGTTTTAGTCCTGGAATGCTCACCTTCTGTGGAGACCCAGGTTCAATTCCCAGGCAGTATAGCTATAGCCTGTCAGTCAGAGTACGTGTTGCTGTGACACTGAACAGGTTTCAGTAGAATTTCTAGGCTAAGGCAGACTAGGAAGGAAGACTCTTTGTCGACTTCCACAGAATTAGCCAGTGAAAGCTGTATGGATCACATCAGTGATCTCGGTCACCAGTGAGCTGAGTGCTAACTCCGTGACAACTTACAACAATACCCTAGTATTAATGCACCCTGTATTCTGGGTGCTGACATTGTGGTTATAAAATAAAGAGGAGAGGAAAGTTTCTTTCTTTCTGTAGCAGGTCTGCCTTAGGTAAAATTTTGTAATAGGTGACATATGACCATTGTTGTTGTTAAGTGCCATTGAGTCGTAGGCTACTCATAGTGACCCTATGAACAAAAGTCCTGGACACCTGTATAACTTTCGTCCTTTCTCCAGGTTCATAGGGTTTCCAGATGCAAGGTATTATGGAAGTGGATGCCACTCCTGCTTCCAAAGCTGTAGTTTCTTGTTTATTTTTTCAGTACTCTCAGATCTCCTCTGCTGCTTTTAGCTATCACAGTGGCTCCAAACTGGGAAGATCTGAACTGTCAGAGACCTGAGATCTAAGTTGGCGCTGCCTGAGCACTGCTGTGGTGGAAGTGTTCTGAATAGCGAAGTACATCTGGCTGTAAACACTTGAAATGTGGCTAGTTCATTTGAGGATCCAAATGTAAAATTTTACTGAATTCATTTGAATTTTAAAAGCTGCATGTAGGTAGAGGCTGCATATTGGACAACATGGAATGTACCAGTCATAGGTTTACCCTTTTAATCCTTTGTTTTACTAAATTAAGCAAGCTTAGTAAATATATCTGAGTTCCCATCTAATCTGTGCATTCAAATTTGTCCCATATTTTTAAATTCTTATTCCATGCCACTGCCATCCAAATTGCAGATTCCAGTTTCTTTAATGTTACCTTCTCTTTACTATTGAATATAAAGAGAAAAAGAGTTAGAGGGAACCAGTCAGTTCTAAATGCTGCAGTCTCTCTTTTAGAGTGATTTCATAATTCTAAGAAGTTTGTTTCTTATTTAATGAATCTCAACTAGTATAGCTTCAAACCATTAATTTTTTAAATTTAATAATTAGTATTTCTTAAAATAATACAAAATGTATAGATTCTGAAAATTTTAAGTGTTTCCTCTTAATTCTTTCGTGGGTAGTTAGAATTAAGTTTGGTTTCTGTCTTTCCAGACCTTCCTGTATCTTGTAAGCATGCAGTGTTTGTGTGTGTATCCTTTTAATGGGGCTATAAGTTCCTCCGCTCTTTGATAATCTTTCTTCTCTTATCATGATGCTACGGCTGTCTTCTTCTTGTTAGTACAGGTTCACCTGCCATTTGTGGTAGCTGTGAGTATAGCGTTGTCTGCATGTCATAATTTATCCCTGATGGCCTAGTGGCAAGAAGCTGCATTGCAATCTCAAAGACGCGTGGTTTGAGGCTTCCAGCTGCTCTTCAGGAAAAGGATGGGCAGTCTCTTCCCGTGCAGTTAACAACCTCTAAAAACCCACCGGATGATCAGTTATGGGTTGGTTCTGACCTTATGGTACACAGCAACAACAAAGCCCATGGACATTTATGTTATTTTATTGAATTATTTCTTCTTTGCTTTAAAAAACAATTCTGCAGTGAGTTGTCTCACATGTATATCTTTGCTTACGGGATCAATTTTTTTTAGACTGAATTCTTAGAAAAGGAATGGATTTTTAGAAAAGATCAAATGCTATGCAGATTTTTATAAATGTGATGTAAATTGCAAGCTTGCTCTGTAGAAAAGTGCCAGTTTAAATCCACCAGTACTATAAAAATCTGACCATTTCTTTACTCTGATTTTGGTATTGAGCATTGTCTAGTCTGGAAAATTTGGCTTTGTTGATAATAAAAAAACATCTTTTGATAATGCAAAATTTGATTAATGGAATCTGATTCATATATTATACTAACTCATACTGAAAACTACCTTTGTGTACCATTTTCATTTTGTTGTTGTTGTTAAGTACCGTCGAGTTGCAGGTGACTCATAGCGACCCTATGAACGAAGTCCTGGACACCTCCTGTATGACTTCCATCCTTTCTGCAGGTTCATAGGGATTCCAGAGGCAAGCTGTGGAAGTGGATGCCACTCCTGCTTCCAAGCTTGTTTTAATCGGGGAGTATCACCAAACATTGTCCACCATGGGTAACAGCATTCGACTTCATAGCAACCACAAGTTACCTCTGTACAGCAAGTGGACATACCAGGGTTACACGACCTAGAAGGATATTTCACCTTTCATTTTACTCTTATTTTTTAAAAACCCACCTAGTTGCTTTCTTTCACAAACTTATTTTCCTGATATTTTCAGTTTGATATTAACTAATAAAATAGAGAAACATACACTCTGTGCTAATGTAGGATGCAAAATACAGTTTAATTTTTAATTTTAGTTCATTTATATACATTTTTATAACATTGATTGCAGTCATTTATCAATGTCATTTATCAGTGTCTCATCAAGTCCTCACAATACCTTGCCGTTTCCTTCACCTGGCCCACTAATCTCTTCTGACCTCGCATTTTTAAAAATTATGTAAGATGATGAGCAGTGTCATTTCTTTTACACCCAAAATAGTTAAAAAACCCATGCGGTTACTAACATTATTAATATATAATTAGAATGTGCAAAGATGATCTTTGTCTTTAAAACTTAACAAGACAGAAGTCCTTAAAAGAAAAAGTTTTACCAAAGTCACAAATTTAGATGCTATATGTATATGTACCTAGTTGTAGTTTGTATATACATATATATATAGTATATTTGTGTATCTATATCTGTATCTATATACCTGTATAGATATATGTTGTTAGTTGATACTGTGTATGTGTATATAAAACTAAGCAAATTTTTTTTATATTTTGCTGAATTGAAATTATAATTTACTCTCCGTTATTCTGCATAGATAATTCCTACATGGACAAAGATGAGCATGGCTCATCCTCTGAAAGTGAAGATGAAGCACTGGGTAAATATCATGAGGCCTTATCCAGGACACACAATTCCAGACTACAGCTGGCAGATTCTAGACAAAAGAACTATTCTTGGGAGACAAGACAAAAATACAGCCCTCTGTCTGCAGAGTATGATGGATACAGTAGTGAAGCATCAATAGATGAAGGTAAGAAAAGTTATTTTCTTTTATTGAATCATGGGCTCCGTAGCATTTGAATATATATTATTTGCACCTATGGTTTTAGACTTCTTTGATTGCACAGTAAATAAGAGGTAGTACATACTGTGTAGTCAAGGTTCTGGGAATTTCACTTACTCAAAATAAAAATCTCTGGGCTCAAGTCAAAAACAAAACCAAGTCCAAAACTAAAAGAAAATTCCAAAATAAAATACCGAATGATTCAAATACAGTGGTAATTCTGGTTCTCGTTCTGCATAGCATGTGTCTCACATACTGGGTATATGACTAATGTGTAAATATATGCTTTTCATTTAATGTGGCCTTGAAATAGGATCAAAATACACAGCAGAACATGGGTGATCTGTTATGTGCAACTAGGAAAACTGGCTGAGCTGGATTTGATGACAACTATTAACATCTTGCACAGTTCTTTAAAGACAATGTAAGGGATTTTTCAACTGTTGCCCTTTGCTTTATGTACTGATAGTGACCAGATCTCAGCATGTGTAGAAGATACAAGTCCATTGTTAATTCATTTTCCATCTTTCTGCAAGAGAAATAAAAAGGTTTGCCATTAATGCAAACATTTTTTTCACATTTAAATGTTTCCTTTCTAGATATATTGTGTTACTACTGTAGTAGTTAAGTGACATTTTACCCAGAAAAAATAAAATATACAGTTTGTTATCTTATTACTATGATTCACAGATATTCGTCTTTATTCACTCTTTTGTTTTCCTAGCAGTTGTTTGTGCTTTAGAGTCTATTGTCAACCCAAGATTGCTGTTCTTTTAACTTCTGTTAATACACAGATATAATAATAAATTAAACAAATACTGAGTGATTACTTTATGATGCTCGTTATGGAGAAACTAAACAATATTGTACATGAGTTCTGTCTTCAGCAATACTTTTCTGTGCACAAGAGTTACACTTTTAGCAAAAGAAAAAATAAGACATAGTTATAAAAATAACTACATAATCCAAAGAAGTAAAGCTAGTCCCCAGTTTATATGCACTCCTGGTGTATGGGTAATAGAACTATTGTGTTGTTGTTAAGTGCCGTTGAGTCGCAGGCGACTCATAGCGACCCTATGAAGGAGAGTCCTCGACGCTTGGGTGCCTTTCATCCTCTCTCCAGATTCATAGGGTTTCCAGAGGCAAGCTATTATGGAAGTGGATGCTACACCTCCTTCCAACCACATTGAGTACCCAACCATTAACGCATTTGGCACATCAGTGTCACGGTGTTCATCCTCACAGGAACCACAAGTGACCGCAGTACGGCAACTTGTACACGAGGGTTATTTGACCTAGAGGAATGTCTGAACAAAAATAATGGAAGAGTAATAATATAATAATAGTAGTAGAACTAAACAAAAAAAAGGTGGGGGAAGTGTTTCAAAGCCATTTTCTGGCTTTTTCACTTTTGTGTTCTATTATTTACTGTACTAATTATGAAACCTTGATTAGTACAGTTAAAATTTTTAAAATTTGTTTTATTGCTTCTAAAATGTGGCTAATGCCAACATGATAAGTTTATCTTGAACATAAAATGATGTACCTTGCACAGTTTTTAGTACATGATGCTAAATCAGTTGATGATCAGTAGATGGTATCTGTTGATGAGGCTAGTGATAGCAGAAATAAAAATAAGCAGCCATGAATCAGCCCTGAGTTTGTAATCAGTGACCCTAGACAGTTCCCCTCCCCTCCACCTGTGATTTGAGAGTTTACATACAAACTAGCCTTTAATTCACTCATTTACGCAAACTCCTTTTTCGCTACAAAAAAAATGAGAATATTTTTCCCATTTATCCTTCCTTCCCTTTTACCCCCTGTGACTTTATTACTTCTTCAAAGTAGTCTTATTACTTTAGTATGACTCTAGTCTGTGGGGCGAGCATCAGCATTGAGGAGGGAAGGATAGCATTAATGACTGTTATATTCCTGCCATAACCTCTGGAAATAGTGAAGATATCCCACAATCATCTTTTCATCTCATTTTGTCTACATAGTAAGGGCCCAACACATGTTTTTATATCCTATTTTGACCCTAATTATTGAATAAAACACCCAGGATGTAGTGATTTTAGGCATTCTGAAATTAGATTTCATTCACTTTGTAAAAATGTATTGAGTGCTTTTTGCCAAACACCATGTTAATTTATATGGATATAATTGTGAATAAAACAAGCTTGTTTCTCTTAAAGAATCTGCAGCCTGATAAGAAGATAAGTGGGTGTGTATATATAAAAATACATATAGTAGGATAAGAGATCCCAAAGCTACATAAACAAAATACTGTAAACAAAACATACAAAGGAGGATTTATTACCTAGACTTTGGGAGGTAGGCCAAAGTCTATAGGGAGAGGCCTCCCAGAATAGGTGGAATTTGAACTGGCTTTAGTGTAAGTTATTTGATCAGCATAGAATGCAAAGCAAAGGAGAAGTTTAGTGTTTTGAATGTAGGATCTGTGTTTAGAGAAGAGGCAGAGACCAAATGCCATGCTCAGACATTTAGGTAATATCTTAGAAGAACTGAAGAACCCTAAAAGTTTTGAAAACAAGTGAATGTTACACTGTCTGATCATTATTTTTCTCTTATTAAGTGCTATCAAGTTGACTGCAACTCATAGTGACCCTGTGGATAACAAATCTGAACCTTGTCCTTTCTTGTGCCAGCCTCATCATCTCTGATATAGTTGAACCCATTGACACAGTCATTGGGTCATTCCACCTTGTTGAGGGTCTGTTACTCTTTCTCTGACCCTCTGCTTTTGTTATCATAATGTCTTTTCCCAAGTACTGATCCCCTCCTGACATCGTTACTGAAAATATGTGAGACAAAGTGCTGTGCTCTAACACCACAACTCAAAGGCCTAAGTTCTTCTTTTGTCATCCTATTCATTGTCTAACTTTCAGAGGTGGTATAGTGTGGTCACTGTTTTTAGGGAAGATTATTTAGCTGTTATAAAAAAGATTGAATTGGAGTTAAAGATACTAGAAGCAAAAGAGACCAGCGTGACAAATAATACTAAGATCCTCATTCATAATGAAGAATACATAAATTTAGTCATGAAGAAAGTATAAATTTAGCAAGTCTAATCTGTTTATGATCACCAAATGTGTGCAGTGAGAGAGGCATGAACAGGTTTAGATAATGGAGAATGTTAAAGAATAAGTTTGTGAGAGAAAGTTGTTTAGTTTGGATCATGCTGAGTTTAAAGTCTCTGTGGAATGAATGTGGAAATGAATATTCTATTTTGAATGCCATCATGAGAACATAGAGTGAGGAAAGGACTACTTTAGAATGTAATGTAACAGTGAGCTTCAGAAGGTAAGAGATATTGAGAGAATAATGGATGATATTGATTATTGAATTGTATTTCATTGATTATTGGTTATTGAAATACCAAAGATTACTCAAATATATCAATGAAAATAGGCTCGATAGAGTATCAGGGAAGATGAAAATTTAATTAAAGGAGACTATTTCAGAGCAAATTCAAGTCATAGTTCACAACGTACATACAGGTTAAGATGCAGAAGTAAATGTTGTTGTTGTTGTTGTGTACCATCAAGTCAGAACTGACCCATAGCTGACCCTCCTGCAGTTTTTCATAGACAGTAGGTCACATAGGAGGAGACTGTCCATTCTTCTGCTATGGAGCAGCTGGTGGATTTGAACTGTGAGCCTTCAAGATTGCAGTGCAGGTTCTTAACACGAGGTCACCAGAGTGCCAATTTAACATTTGTCTCTTGAGGGAAAGATGTTATCAGTGATGGTCCCTGTGCTTTGTTTTAAAAAATAATTATTTTTTGACCCATAATAGATTTCATCTACAGCCTCCTGCTCCTGATTTTACTGCCACTCAACCTACAACTGAAGACTGGTCCGTAGCCTCCACATAAATATGCTAACAAGTTTTAGGGATGGAAGTGAAATATTCATTAGGGAAAGTGTGAGAGAGTTTCAGGAAGAAAATGACATTTGGGTAGAAATTTATGGGTAAAAAATAGAGATATTTCATATATAAACCCACAAATATAAATTGGTAAAATGTAGGGAGTGTTTCAGCAAGGAGGAGGGGAAAAAAGGTCTACTTTACTGTATGTAGCATATGGGGAAATGAGAGGGGCTTGAGTGCCTCCTTTCCAGGAAGTTTGCATTTAATTTGCTAGCCAGTGAGAACTCTTGAATAAGTTCTCACCAGTTAACTTTAATTACAGGTTTGCTTTAAAAGATTAATTTAGCAATAGGAAGACTATATAGGGAAAGAGATCAATTAAGGATGTGTTTGGAGTAGACTATGTGGGAAATGGTACAAATCTAAATTACGTTAGTGATAATGGCTATATAGGAAAAGATGAGACATTATAGAGATAGGATTTGCTGAATTTAGTAACTGCATGTCTTTGGAACATTAGGAAGAAGGAAGAAGCATCAAAGAAGGCTCTGGTTTCCAGCACATAGTAGCAGGGGAATGATGATGAGTCATTATATAGAAAAGAATCTCTTTTGTTGGGAGTTAGAGGGGTGGATGTCTTGGAAGACATAATAAGGGATTATAGATATGTATTGTAGTAGGGTGTTTAAGCAGTTAGAAATGCTTGTGATAATTTAGCTGATGGAGAGAGGTTTTCATCTAATACATGATTTGGTGATAGAGACTACAGTAATAGATTAAATTGATGAGGGAGAATGTATGCAGAGGAGAGTTCAGAGTATCACTTTCTTTCATTGAAAGGAAGATAGAGGATGCTACTAAAAGAAACAATAAAAAAGATGAAAGATTCTGATAATGTTGTGGGTTTTTTGTTTTGTTTTTGTTTGTTGTTTTTTTTTATAATGTTGTTTTTTAATCAGCCTTGGGAGGAAAATTTTAAGGAAGAGGGTAATATGTGTCAGATGCCAAAGTGTTGGGGGAGGATTAGGATTCAAATAAGTTTCTTTGGATTTGCCTAGTACAAGTTAGTCAG